CCCCCCCACCCCACCACACACACACACACGCGTGTCTGCCGACGCCTCTCGATAAATATTTGCCGTCCGCGCTGTGGCTGCTTTAGCCTTTTCGTTTCCTTTCGCTTACGGAGTCTCTCACCACCAACGCACGTCACGAGAGCGCTATTGATTGTCTGTTTTCTTTTTTCTCTTCGTGTTTTTTGTGAACTACGACGATACGTAGTGCAGCGGAGAGGATGCCCTAACCAGCTGCTTTGAGGAGGAGGAGGGGGAGGGGCTTTTGAAAAGAAAAAAGAAATAATGTGTTGTCGCACCTCCTCCGTTACATCGTGTGAAGATCGACGTTTCTGTTTCTTCTTCTTCTGCTCCCCCCCTCCCCCCTCCTTCTCTGAAGACAAGTAATCGTTTTCACTGCCTGTTTTTTCTTCTTGTATTTGGCTGTTTCGTCGTGGCGGCTGTTCTCCTTTATAATATAGATATAACTTGCTTACTTACAATTATTAGTGATGCATAAAATGCATATATTTATATATTTTAGCTTATCCCGTTGTTAACTTTCCTGTTCCTGCACTAAAAAGATCTGCCTCTTCACGTCATTTCTCTTCCGAGCGCTTTGTGTCTCTGTTGTTTTTCCGCTCTCCCCGCGATTACGTCGCCTCTCACGCGGCGGCACCCGACGAAGACGAAGAACGCGGGGTTTTTTCTTTCAGTAAGCGCGAAGACGAAATGCGTAAAACAGTAATACTAATTCGGAAACGTGCTTCTACCCTCAATACAAAGATATGCCGCCGCCTCCACTGGCTGCAGCACTTTGCAGCGGCGCATGACCACCGTGTCACATCCGCTCCTTTTTTTTTAAACAATATTTTCTGTGCTTGTGTGTTTATGCGAACCCACGTAACTGGAGCAACGATTCTGCAAAGCCGCGGCACACATCGCCGTCACATCATCGGGCGCGTAGCGTCGGTGCCGGTGGCGGTAGGCTTCCTCGCTTGCCTTTCTTCCCGCTCTCGTGAAGAAAAGGAAAAGGCTCTTGCTCTATGCGTACACTTCGAAGCTGCGTGCTGGAGGCTCTAACACAGGACTCACAGATGCGACACACAGGAAACGAAGAGGTGGGCGGCTTTGATTTTATTCCTTGCTCTCTCCCACCTTCCGTAGCTGCCACTTTCCTTTCTCCGCCCCCTCTCCTCTCTGTTGATTCTCCTTTGTTATTACTATTGTTATTATTCCCCCCCCCTTCTTGGCGTTTCTTTGCTTTCCGCTGCGCTAAGTTGTAGTCGTGTCGTTGCTTGACGGACGACGCTGTGTCTTTGCATTCCACCACCTCCCCCTCACTTCCGCCGCGTTTTGTGCTTCTCCACGTGCGCCACTGAAGTCGCACCCCGCGAGTGTGAAGCTTCCACCTCTACTTGCTTGCAGCTGTACGCATTCACACACACATATATATTATTTCTCTCTATTCGCTTTCTCATATCACCAAACTGGCTGCGTGTGGCCCCTCCTCCCCAAAAAAGTGGAGCTCCACCCCCTTCGTTTTTTTTTTAAGGAAACTGTTTGTTTTATTATGTTGGCCAAACAGTCCCTACCGCTTCTTCGATTCGCGACGCCTTATCCTGACTGTCTGTTTTCTCTTCTTTATCGTTCGCGAGCATCACTGCCGGTGTACTCGCACCACACTCCCTCCCTCCCTCCCTCCCCCCAACCACGAAGGGTGGAAACCACAAGAAGCACTTCCGCTGCAGTCCAGCGGTGCCATCCGGGGAGGGCTTTTTAAATTGTTTTGCTGGTTTCTTTCGCTGCGTCCACCGTTGTCCAAACGTGTTTCGTATACACATACATATAGCTCTCTATTGACGGACCAGTGATCCTTCTGGGGTCCATTTGCTACCCACCTCCACCTATCTCCCTCCCCGCCAAAAAGATAATATCAAAGGGAACAGCACGTGTAGGTTTCGATTAGGAGCCGGCCCCATCGTTGGCGACTCGCGCTTCATCGTGCCGCCATGCACCCTCCACCGCTTACCGGCGCGGGTGCGTCGTCACTGACCACGTCCGCCAGTTGTGTGCTGTCGCGTGCTACGTGCAGCGGCATTGCTGTCTGCCATGCCCAACGGCAACTCCACCCGCTACTCACCGCGCGGTCAGCTTCTGTCGACCAGCTCCGACCCACACAGGTGCTGTGGGCAGTGAAGCTCTCCGCTTTCGTCCCTACGGCGCATCGCCGATGCTGGCGGCCACGCACCACACACACCGCCCATCACCGAAGCGCTGCCCTGCGCTGTCCTGGCGGCCTTTCCTCCGCGCGGACGTGGATAGGCGACGTCACCGGGGCCGCCTTGCCCTCTGCGTGGTGCACCGCCCGCCGCCATGCCTCCACCGGCCGTCGGCCCACCTATATTGAAATCACTGAAGCCCTGGACGTGCTGGGCGTGTCCATCGATGAAGACCCGAAGGTGGTGAAGGCGAAGTATCGGGAGCTGGTGAAGAAGAACCACCCGGACGCCGGTGGGGATGCGGCGACGATGGCGAAGGTCACGGTGGCCTACGATCGCCTCAGCAGCCTCAGCAACCGAGAGAAGGAGGAGTACCAGACGCAGAGGAGGATGTTTCACAGCGGCCGCGTGGGGAGCACGCGGCGGTACCGCCCGGGTCCTGCTGGTGGCTACGGCTACGCCGTCCCCAATGGACCGTTTCAGGCTCGCGCTGCGAACATGTACGGCCAGTACTACCAGCAAGATGCGAACACGGCCTATCAGCAGACGCACCACGCAGGTCAGCAGAGCTACTGGAACCAGTACCACAACCGTGCCGGGTCGGCCAGCTTCTCAGAGAACCCTTTCAATTTCAGTAACCCGTTCAGCATGAACGCGCAGGTGCGGCGCGCCCGCTTCCTGCCCCCCGGCACCCTCCTCCTCCAAGGCCTCGTTGTGTACCTCGTCCTCTCCGCGTTCTTCCTCTTCGCCTACCGCCGCTACCGTGACTGGCGCCACGATGATGGCTGGCGCATGTCGGAGAGTCTCGCGCGCCACGAGCAGATGCAGGAGATGCATCGCATCCGGCAGGAGATGAATGAGCGGGCGCGTGCGATGCTGATGCGCGACGGCAGCGGCGGTGATGGCGAGGCCGACAGAGGATTTTTCTCTAGCATCAACGGGCTCTACGGAAGTCGTCAGTTCGTTGGGGAGTCGCCGGAGGCGCGCGCCTTGGAGTACGCCCGTCAGCGTCGTATACAAATGATGCAGGAGCAGCAGGACGCCGCCGTCAACGCGCCGGAGTTGCGGGGGTGGCCGAAAATCGATGAGGAGAAGGGCCGCATCATCAAGCGAGCCCAAGACCCCAGCGGCGTCGTCTTCTTTGAGCCGCGGCGAGAGGACACGCGACGTCGGCAGATTGAGAACCAGCGCCGGGCGAGCGGCTTCACGCGACGCGCCACGACACCGCAAAGCGCACCGTCCGCCGCAGCCCCTGCGGAGCAGGACGTCACTGCTGCTGCTGCCGCCAGTGACGACGCAAAGGTGGAGTCAGAGGGCAGTTCCGCAGGGGCTGGCTCGAACAACGGCCCCCCGCTTCCACCGGAGTCCAATGTCGGCGCTGTTATGATGAAGCCTGTGGGCAACGAGCAAGAGGCTCAGGCGGTGATGCGTGGCATCTTCGCTGGTCTTCGAAGAAACTCTTCGTGACGCTGCCGCCGCTGCTGCTGCTGCTATTTTTCTTTATTCTTTCTAAGAAAAAAAAATACGTGGTGCGGGGTCCGTTGGGCTCTTCGATTTCGTGTTGTTGGTTGTTGCCGGGCAGTTGCCGCGCGCTATCGGTTTTGGGTGGTTTTCAACCCGAGGAGGGAAGGGGCGGTGCAGCACGGAGTACTCTCGCCCCCCCCCCCTCCCCTCTCTCTCTCTCAGCTGCGGTTGACACAGCTAGTATTTACGAGGGTTGAACACGTGAAATATAAATATATATTTATGAAGGAAAGGGCAACGAGGGTCTAAGCCGAAGTAAAGGGAGAGAGCGCGATTTCAACTAGAGTTCTCTGCGCTCTCTAAAGGAAAGAAAAAACAAAGATTAACAGCGGCAGCAACAATCGAAGGACCTCCGCCCACTACGCATCGCGGAGCACACCTCTTTGTTGAGCTCTTGCCCTTTCAGAAATGGAGAGGAGTGCAAACAGCAGCAACCACCAAAAAAAGAACAAGGACTCGCGCTTTTCTTCCACGCCTTTATGATTCCAATATCCTTGTCCTGCCTGATCGCCTGCGTGAAGACAAGACAATCTGCCGTCTCCCGAGAGACGCGCTCTTCCGGCTCCATCTCTCAACCTGCTCGTCTTCTGGCTCCTTCGCTGTCTTTCAATTCTTCCGTTTTGCTGCATTCCGCATGCGCCTCTTACTATTATTATTATTATTATTATGATTTCTTCTTATTGTCGTGTCTTGTGCATTCCACGCAGGGATCCGTCGCTGCTTCGTCTTGTTCTTTTCCCCCTCTTCGTTCCTCCCCTTTTCCCTCCCCAGCTTCGCTATACACTCGATCATATATATATATATATTTACCATTGCCGCTGTTATCATTCGCACTGGTGTTTTGGTCGTACGTGAGCTGCAATAGGAGACCTGCTTGACGTTAATGATTCCTAATCTTCCTATTACTAGTATTGCTGCTGACTTCTTGTCATTTGGCGACTGTTGCTGCGTGCGGAGATTTCCTTAAGAAGGCCACAAAGCGTTATTATAATTATTATTGTTTGTTTCGCTTTCTTCTCTTCTTTTTACAGTTCCCTCCCCCCTCCTCCTGTCGCGCCGAAAGGCCGTTGTCTCTCCCCACACCTTTCGTGGGCCGCATACACAGCAGACACATACTCACGTAGTCACACAGCCCCACCATAACTCTTTCACTCGCACTGCCTCGTGCCTCACCGATTATCCGTTGCTTAGCTGCGACCGTGTACCTTCCTTTTCCTTTTCTGCCATCTACAGTAGTTGCCGGAGTGAGTTGAGAGTCATGCGCTCCCCTAAGTCGTCCCCCGCCTCTTCGCCAGCGAGCTCGGCACATTCAACGGCATCCCCAGACACACAGCCGGCGTCTCCAGCAAACGCGACCCTCAACGAACGCCAGCGGCGTCTGGCACGGGAGCAGCAACAGATGATAGAGCAACTAATCAGCGCCGGACTCGCGCAGGTTGCGGACCTCGTGCAGTTTGGCTTCACCGAGGCAGAGATCAACGCGGCGGGGTTGAGCTTCCCTTCTCCGCATCTGAGGGCGGAGGCGGAGGAGCAGGAGCAGGAGCAGGAAGAGCGCGCGCGAGCAGAGCAGGCTGCCACAGCGGCACTGCACACGGATGACCGTCGCGCAAAGGCGCGCAAGCGGGGCTGGCATGATGAGCCCAATACCCCCACGAGCACGCCAGCGACGGCGCGGGCGGCAGCGCTGTCGCATGGGGACTTGACGGATGTCAGGACAACGGCGAAGGCGGTGGACGGCGCGCTCCCGCCGTCCACCGTTTGCCACTCCCCCGCCACAGCTCCTTCGTCCTTTTCCTCGCCTCCAAAGGCGGTGGCCTTGTCGGAGCAGCTCCGGGCGTCTGCGGTGCGTTCAGCAGGTGTCGTCGATCAGCATCGCCAGCAACGGCAGGCCACCGGGCACGACACGCGTGGCTGCCTCGCCGAGGAATGCGCTCGCACGCTGCGCTACGAGGCCGAGGATGAGGATGGAGAAAGCGCGTGTGCCACGGCGCCGGTGGTGGTGGCCGCAGCGCAGCCAACCCGTGTTGCCGGCAACACAGCTCTCGCCTTCTCTGGATTGGACGTCGCGGTCGCAAAGGAGATCGCGCAGATGCTGCAGGCGCCGGTCGACGACGCGGCGCAAGCGGAGCAACACCGCATGCAGGCGTACCTCGAGTCTCGTGAGGACGGCGGCACCCCGTATATGTAGCCGTGCTCTTGCTCCTCCAAGAAGAAATGATCAAGGAATCATAGAGGAAATCAATAATGAAAAAGAAAAGAAGATAATAGAAGCCGGCAGCAGCCATACCCCCCTCGAAAGAAAATCAACCTCGCTGTTCACCTCCGCGTGTGCCGCGACGGCTGGGCTGGCCTGCTCTCTCTCTACCTCTCTTTTCGTGTCTCTCGTTCTGTTGTTGTTCCACGCATAGAAGACTTTTATCTCAACCCCATACGGATTCCGTGCGTAGACGACGGCAGACGCTCGACGAATCCCACGTGCACCAGTTCATAGAAGGAGCGGCAGCGCCCGAAGGCTCTCTCGCAATGCATGAGCAAAGGGGGCGGTTGTAGGTGCTGTGCTATCAGTCGCTGCAGCACCGTTGTCGCAGCTCGTATAGAAGGAAAAACAATGAAAAACAAAGGGGAAGAAGTGCCTATCGTTACTGCTGTTCGTGCCCGACCACAGCTGCTCGTGTCAGCCGTATGAGTTTTTTCTTCTTCTCACTCCTCCCCAGTGCGGCAATCTGACTTTTCAGTTCTTCAAAGAAAACTCACACATTTATATGTTCAAGATGGCCAAACGCACAAGCGCTAGAGGAGCTTAGTGATGAATGCACGGACAGGTCGGGGGAGGGGGGAGAGGTGCTTCCTGCTCCTCTCTTCTCTTCGCTCGCTGTCTGACGCGTGATCTTCCAGGTGGGACGGTGCACACATCTTCGCTCATCCTCCGCCCTGTCTGTATTTTTGTTTTTCGACTTTGCAACTCGCGACTCTTCTCTTCTTCTCCCCTCCGCGTTCTTCTTCTTATATCCACTCTTCTCCTCCCCTGTCAGATCATCAACAACAACAACAAAATAATACCAAACCAGATTTCTATCGCTTCGCTTTCTCTCTCTCTCTCTTTCATTTTTGTTTCTTCTGTTTCCTTCCTGGCCTGCCTGCACCCGCCTCTCTCGCACTCTAGCAACTATCGCTGCCCATCTTCTCTAGGCGCTTAAGCTGCAGCTTTCATCTGTGCCTCTCTCTCTCTACATCAAATCGTTCGATAGTGGTTGTTTCCTCCCGAAGAAAAAAGAGCCAGGAGTACTTCATAACTTTCTTCTTTTTCATCTTCTTCTTCTTGTCTTTCCAGTAAGCAAAACGGTTTCTTACGAACTTATTACTTTCTGTCTCTCGTTTCAGACACCAAAACAACAACAACACACTCACACACACCGTCATGTCGACGCGTCCGCAGCAGCCCCCGGTCGAGGGCGGTGCCAACCGCATCATCATCGTCGGCGGAGGTCTGGCTGGCGTGTGCGCCGCCCACGCCGCCCTCCAGCACGGCGGCAGCGTCCTCCTGCTGGACAAGTCCGCCTTTCTCGGCGGCAACAGCACCAAGGCCTCCAGCGGCATCGCGGGCTCCCCCACCCAGGCCCAGATCGACGCCGGCGTGCTGGACGGGGTAAAGCTGTTCACGGACGACACCAACCGCAGCTTCCACGGCGTGAAGCCGGGCGAGCAGCCAGGGCCGGTGTCGCCGCTGGTGTCGGAGATGGTGCGTCTCTCCGGCTCCTCGCTAGACTGGCTGGCGCACTACTTTAACTGCGACTTGACGAAGCTGGGTTTCATGGGCGGCCACAGCAAGCCTCGCACGCACCGCGGCGAAGGGAAACCCCCTGGCATGGCCATCACCTTCGCGTTGATCAACGCGCTGGAGAAGGTGCAGAAGGAGGACCCCGCGCGAGCGCGCATTCTGACGAAGGCGCGCGTGGTACGTCTGGTGCGCGACCCCGTCGACGGACCTGTGACCGGCGTCGTGTACGCCGACCGCAAGGGAAATGAGTTCATGGAGCGCGGTGCGGTGATCGTGGCCACAGGCGGCTTCGCGGCGGACTTCACGCAAGACGATACCTCCCTCATCGCGCGCTTCGCACCGCAGCTGACAAAGTTCGCGACAACCAACGCCGAGCACGCCACCGGCGACGGCATCAAAATTGGTGAGCAGATCGGGGCGGGTCTGGTCGACATGGACCGCATCCAGGTGCACCCCTCCGGCCTCGTGGACCCGAAGTGCCCGGACAACCACGTCAAGTTTCTCTGCGCGGAGGCGCTGCGCGGGGCGGGCGGCATTGTGGTGGATAAGAAGGGTCAGCGCTTCGTCGACGAGCTTGCCCGCCGCGACCAGGCCAGCGGGGCGATGCTGCAGAACAACGACAATAGCCCCTTCTACCTCCTGCTGAACGAGAAGAGTGCGAAGGAGATGGAGTCGCACTGCAAGCACTACGAAGGTCGCGGGCTGATGACGCGCTACGCGAGCAGCTACGACTTCTGCAAGGCCGCGAACATCAAGCCGGAGGCCTTGGCGGCCACCTACGAGCAGTATAAGAAGGACGCCGCCGTGAATGCTGCCTCGCGCGGGGTCGCCGCGGGCAGCGACGGCGCGAAGCCGGGCTTCTTCACCTCTCTCTTCGGATTGGGGAAGAGCAGCGGCAGCGGCGGCAGTGCAGGGGCCGGGGCAGGAGCCCAGGCGGCCACCCGCGGCACACCAGACCGCTTCGGCAAGACCCTCTTCCGCAACGTGGACGCCTTCGCCATGACGGGCCCTCTCTACGTTGCGTGGATTGCGCCGGTGGTGCATTACACCATGGGCGGCCTGCACGTGAACGAGTACGCCGAGGTGTTGGACGCCGCGACGCAGAAGCCCATCCCCGGTCTCTACTGCGCCGGCGAGGCGGCGGGCGGCGTGCACGGCAAGAATCGCCTCGGCGGCAACTCCCTGCTGGACTGCGTCGTGTACGGCCGCGTCGCGGGTGAGCGGGCGACCAAGTACCTCCTCGCCACCTATATGGGGCCCTTCTCGAACAACCGCCTCAACACGATCTACTCGCAGCTGACCATCAAGGAGCTGCCGGCGCTGCCGCCGGTGCCGAAGGCGGCTGCGGTGACCACGAAGGCAGCGGTAGCGGCGACGGAGGCCCCCGCGGAGAAGGCCGCTGCCGCCCCTGCCGCCGCTGCCGGCGCGAGCGAGGGTGGCAAGGCGTTAAAGCGCTACACCCGTGCGGAGGTAGCGAAGCACAACAAGGAGGCGGACTGCTGGTGCATCATCCATGGCCAGGTGCTGAACTTGACGGAGTTCCTGCCGGACCACCCAGGTGGCAAGCAGTCGGTCGTGATGTACGCCGGCAAGGACGCGACGGAGGCGTTTGACCTTGTGCATCAGGCCGAGGTGATCGAGAAGTACACCCCGGATGCGGTGGTCGGCGTGGTGTCTGATTAAGCGGACACTGCAAAGGAGCACTGAAAGCAACAAGAAACGAAAAGCCCCCAAAACAACACAAAGGCTAGATAGGACGCGCCCGCCATAGATGTGAAATGCGAAGTAAAACAAGAACCTCCATTTTCCTCTTTCTCTATGTATGCGCGTGCGTGTACGTACACGCAATTCTTTCGGTGGTACTTGCGTTCCCTCTCATTCGCTGTCACGTCGCGAGTACGCGATCGGTTTCGTGGAGAATAAAAGCACCGACGACACACGGCTAAAAAACCATGGAAGGACGCCGTGATGGCGACACTGTGTTGAGAGGCTCACGCACGCACAGACACACAACGTGCTTGTTGTTTTCGTGTGGCCGCGCCGTGCTGCATCTGGGTGTGATGCATTATTTTTTTCTTCTTCTTTACACAATCAGTCACGCGCTGCGGGATCGAGACTGAGTTGAGGAGTATTCGAGGTGCCGAAGCGAAGAACGCGGCATCCATCGTTTTAGGTTGTGCTCGCCGTGGCAGGTACTTCATGCAGGCGTACCACAACAGTATACCTTTTTCCTTTTGAAAGAAAACCCAATAGTGTTTATCGAGTATAGCCACCGGAGCTGCAGCAACACCAAAAGCGCCAAAACAACAAAAAGGACGGCCGAGGAAGAACAAAAGAAAAACATAGCTGCTTTTTTATTTTTTAGTCAGAAGTTTTGTTTTCCCACTAATCTCCTTATGAACTTATTTGTCAAGTCTTAGGTTAAGCAACGGCAAGGAAGAACACCTGCGGGAAAAGTACTGTGTAGCGCGTGTGTGCGTGTTGGACGGTACGGAGGAAGCTTGCAGGGTCAGTCGCCGAGTCGGTCCGCTTTCCGTTGCTTCTTCCAACAAAAGTAATCCCGGAAACAGTCTCTGACACGGGTGGTGGTGAGCGTCATGATTTTTATTTTTCTTTCTATATCTCTTTTTGGTTTCAAAGCATTTTGCAAGTGTTTTTGCTGTTCATTTACTGCGCGGCTACCGGAACCGTTCCTAGTGTTGTACACCGTCGAATGAATCGTGTTCATCAAGTATGTTGTTTCAAATCACTTCCATCTCGTCGTCATTGAAGTCGAAGAAAGAAATAATTCAAACACATGCAAAGTCAAGTCCCTCCAGCGACTGCCACTGGTTGGCCTGCTAAGCAACGCAAACATCATGGCGTGACGGCGACCACGACAAGCGGATGCAACCACCACCACAAGAACAGCAGTAAAACGCATGGATTGCGGCACGGAGAGGGCACAAAGGAAGAACCCTCAAGAAAGAACGCCTTGCTGAAAGCGCGTCCACCGCAGTGGCGGCCCTTCCTCTTCCCTTTTCTGTGGGACTTTCAGCGAGGGATGAGGCGCCTGCTGCTGCCCAGCAGTGGCCGGATGAACTCGGCTGTCCTCGCGTCTGTGCGCCGTTGCCGCTGCGATATCTTCCCTCTTCTCTCTTGTCTCCTTTCTCGTGCGGCTCTCCTCCGCGGCGCTTTGAAAAAGTCATCCGTGACAGGATTCGAACCTGCAACCCTCTGATCCGTAGTCAGATGCTCTTCCATTGAGCCACACGGACTTCATTGAAAGCGATTTCGTGCTTAGGGGCTGTCAGGTGCGACCGCTTTCTCGCGGGAGGGGGCCGGCTCGCGTCCCCCCGCCACCGAAAAGCTGCGCCGGGATTCTTTTGGCTGAGGAATTTGGCTGATGGCGACATTCTTTGGTCTCAGTAAACTTCGTGTTCAGACACGGGTGAGGGAAACTAGCGCTTGCAGGATGCGGCACGCTGGAAGAACACCCATTCCCTGCGGAGCGGAAGCGGTGCCGCAGCTCGTTGCCAACGTTGATGTCAGAAAACCAACGCACTCTCCCCTTTTTTTTAAAAGTTGGTCGAAAATAGCAGTTGTTTAAATGCGCATTTGCAACACTCATGCCGACGCCTACTCTTTTTAGAGACTCAAGAGTGCCCGTTGCGGCACATTCTTTCGGATACCAAGTGTCATGAAGTCAAACATCATTTTCCCTAACTTTTCTTGCTTTCTTCTCTCCCGTTTTCTATTTGCCGATTTAAATCTGCCTTAAAAAAAATTATTATTGATATACTTTTTTTTGTATTTCTTCTGTGCAAGTACTATTTTTCGTGTCTCTTAAAATTGTGCTTGCTGCAAAGACTAATGCAGGGCAACGCACCGGAGCGCTTTTTTATTGGAGGGCTTTTCCGCAACGTGACGGAAGAACATCTGCTTGCGCACTTTCAAGATTACGGTCACGGTATTTGCTTAAATATCTCGCGTGACAATAACGGTAAATCTTTAGGCTATGGGTGGCTATATTTTAATACGGTAGAAGCGGAACGCCTACTTAAAGGAACGCATATAATTAACGGAGCCAAAATCGCTGTTAGCCGTCCAGAGAAAAAGCCGCATAACAATGTCGTGGCCTCAGTGCCAATACCACCACAACCACCAGTACCCCCAAAGTCACGGGTTTTCTCGCAAAACAAGAGTCCGCTTCTAAAACGCCCACGCGAAGAGCTTCATCGTCGTTCACCAACTCACGATTTTCGTGTACACATTTCCGCAACGAGTCAGCCGCGAATCAGTACCCACTAACCGCAGAAAACAGGAACAGAAATGGGCAAGGCAGCAACCACCTGGACAGTAGGAATGGTCCTCCTCGGCAGCACCAAGAATACGCTTCCTCTTCAGCGCCTCCCTTACCTGCATCAGCGTTTGCGTGCATTCCTCTTAGCCTCTGCCCACCAGCTTTTCTGCACGACCCGCGTATTTTCTGCTGCACATTGGATCCTTCGCAAGTCGGCAAACTGACTATTATCGCTACACCAACCGCTCATGATCGTCTTTCGATGTCTGTTACTGCGCCACATCATTACCATGCTGCTACCGTTTCACAAATACCCCAATATGCAGGGGGTAATTCAACAAACGTGGAGACCCACACCAGTTTGCCGCCACCTCCTGGTCCGCCGCCGCAAAATGCTGAGAATAAACAGGTTTCTTTAACCGCACAAGCTAACACATCGTCATTACATCCAGAACAACCTTTGCGGCAGAACGAAAATCATCTTAATTTTCCTTCAGCGGAAAACTGTTCGGCTCCTCCGCCACCTGGCCCACCTCCACTTCACGATACACCACCACCGCCACCGGGACCACCGCCTTCGCATTTGATGTCCTACCCGCTTCCACCAGGGCCGCCACTGCCGAATTTAGCCGTTCCACCGCCACCTGGCCCTCCTCCTCTGCGCGCTAAAGAATCCGAGAAGCTGTTGTGCCCGCCTCCACCTGGTCCGCCTCCGGCGCGTTTTATTCAACCGCCACAAATAAGTAATCCACCGCCACCAGGTCCACCTCCGAGGCGATAAAACTAACCGTACTCTTTGTGATCCGGTGCAGTTTTAGTTAGCAAAGAAGAAAATTAGTAAAGTTCTTTGCAGCATTTCTAAGCTGACCTAAATGTGTGCGTTTTGTTGCCAAGAGGTTGAAATCTGTCCGTTATCTGTGAGAAGGTCAGGAAGAACACTCCTATAAGTTCTGTTTTTGCGACAATAAAATCCACAATAGGGTAGACTGCGAAAGACGTATCTGATTTCTTTTTTTTTTCATGTGCTGTCGAATGAGCAATAATGTGACAGATAGTGTTGCCAATTATTATTTAGGCGTTGTGGCTGCTTTGAGTGTGTTTGTCTGCACTTTGTTTTTCCAGTGGCTATATGGTCTGATTCGCGTAATATAAATGTATTTAATGACAGCAGGAAAAAGCATTTAAAGTACCTTTATGTCTCTACCTTACACAAACAGTTGAGTTTCCTAATTAAAAGAGAATCTGTTCTCTGAAGTTATACAAGACTTAACAAGTTGCTTAAACGAAGGTTACACACGACAACGGAATCCTTCTTGCGTTAGACTGGCTCTTAATGCTATGTTTCAACAAAATCACCGTGAAAAAAAAATCTCTCTTTTAATATGCCCCTCTATCACGTATACCAATAATGACAACTGCAACACAATACATCACGATGATGTTTTTAAAGGTTATCGTCGCAGTTCTTTGTTCCAAAAAAGGTGGCTAGACTCTTTGATCAAAAAATCTCATTTTGCATTATCAGAAGTCTAGGCCTGACACTGAATTACTCGTACTTTTTGCGTTTCTTCTTCTTTCTTTGCATGCGTGTGATCAAAAACACATTCTTCAAGGCACATTTCTTATTCTTTTTATTCCAAAACATTATTGAGCTCATTGAACTGCTTCCCAAGCACTAGCTGAAGGATACCTTTATTTTTTTGACAGCAAGGATACCGTACACCGTCGGTCTTTTTGGTTTACGCAACTATTCTTCGATTTTCTGACTTCTTTTTTTCTTTTCTTTTTTAGCTCTCGCCCATTAGCACCATGTTTACGGATTCGTTGTTGCTGTCTCTTGCGCAACGCATCGATTCGCAATACGCCCTGCGACATGACCCCAAGATTAAGCCGCTAGCGTATGGAACTGCAGGCTTCCGCACTACTGGGGAGCTCTTGCCACCGGTCGCTGCGCGCGTGATCACAATTGCCATTTTGCGAGCATGGTTCTGCGGTGCGCGTCAAGCTCCTGAAAGGCAGTGTGCGACGTGCTCTGTCGGGTTCATGATAACCGCGTCTCACAATCGAGCATTCGACAACGGCTTTAAAATCATTGATACAAACGGCGGAATGCTTGCCGCGTCGTGGGAGCATTGGTGCACTGAAGCTGCGAACGCTGTCACCGGTGCTGAGCTTGTAAGTGTTATCAAAAAATGCGTTGGAACGGAAGAGATAAAGCACGTGTCTGAGTTTAAAAGTCCATGTGGTGTTGTTTTGATCGGTCGAGACACAAGAGAGACCGGCGCAACCATTGAGGCTGCAGCTGCTGACATTTTGAGCATCGTGCTGCAGATCCCTTTTACAGCATATGGCGTATTGACGACTCCGCAATTACACTATATGGTGGAAAGAGCAAACGAATCCGACGCAGTTGCGGATCACATCAAGTTGGATGCATACCATGAGCAAATTCTCTCCAGCTTCGAAGAACTCTTAACGTATACGAATAAAGAAAACGTGAAGGGCTCGCTTTCACCGCAGTCTGTGGTTGTCGATTGCGCAAATGGTGTGGGCGCTCTTGGAATGCAACGTCTTCTTTCCTATTCCCGCTCTCGCGCGAAGGGGGACATATTATCGGAAGTGTTCTCGTTGGAGCTGGTAAACGACATTGTGGAAAACCCAGCCCTGCTCAACGAAAACTGCGGTGCCGACTACGCAAAGCTACATGCAAGACCTTCTGAGAGCATGCGGAAGTGGCCGCTTTCAGGCAGTGCTATCGTCGACTCAGCAAAGACGCATTTTTACTGCTTGGACGGCGATTCTGACCGACTCGTGGCATTCTTTTACAACAATCGCAGTAACAACGACTGGGTTCTGCTTGACGGCGATCGCATTGCAATCTTGTACGCCATGTTGCTGCACAAATGGCTTGGTGAAAAGCATATGAGGGAGCTTGACGTCGGAGTGGTGCAAACTGCTTACGCAAATGGCGCCTCAACGGACTTTCTTAAGTCAAAGCTGCGTATGCCTGTTTACATTGCTGCAACGGGAGTCAAAAATTTGCATCCTGTTGCCCATGCTCGGGATATTGGTGTGTATTTCGAGGCAAATGGTCACGGAACCATGCTTCTTTCCGACAAGTTGGTCAAGGGCGGCTGTGCTGCACATTCAGAAAACCTCATGTCTTTGATGAACAATCTTCGAGGCTTGTTGTCGCAGGTTTGCGGAGATGCTATCGGCGACTTGCTTATGTGTGAGGTGGCTCTGCAGGCGTTGGACATGAGTTTTGAGGACTGGGCAGCATTGTATGCGGACCGTCCATGTAACAACTGAAAGTGACGGTAGAGCATCCGAAGCGTATCACAAACACAGAGGACGAGCAGCGTGCATTGTCCCCAGACGGGATGCAAGAGGAGATTGATGCAGCTGTTTCTGCCGCACTATTGAGCTGCAAAGATGCTCGCTCCTTTGTTCGCCCAAGTGGGACGGAGCCGGTGGCTCGCGTGTACGCAGAGGCGTCTATGCAGGCAGTTTGCGATTTGTTGGCAACAAAGGTTTGTTCTGTTGTTGAGAAGTACTGCAACTAGCCGCGGTTATTTCTGTTCTTCAAGAGCAAGAAGATAAAGGCAGAACATCCGGTGTATCGGTTTTTTTTTTTACTATTGAGCGTCTTTTTTTTTTTGGAAGGTCCGTGCACCTACTGTTGAACACCTCAACCTTAGGTGTCGAAAGAAAGCAGTGTAATTGATTCAGGTCACTTCAGGAAGACACTCTCACACGCACAAACACACACAATGACAACAGAAAATATGAGCTCAAAACATAAGAAAAGTGTAGAAAACATTTTTTTACCCTCCTTTCCCTTTTCGTTCTCTAAAAACAGCAGTAAGAACGTGTTCAGTGAATGCATTGCTGTTCGTTTGAACTGATCTTCGCGAGGAAAAATAGTTGCATGCTAGATCATCCGCTGCGTCTGTTATTGTAAAGCAGAGTGGCACTCTCTGGGCTTGGGATGATCCGTGCGTGCTTTCGTTTTGTTTGAATTCGTGTCCTTTTGCAGTTACTAAATGCATTATTAACAGACAAGAGCACACCTGCGAGACTGTTGTTCTCCCTTTTCCACGTTTCTGCACTTCCAGTGAGATGGGGAAGTTGTGAATGTAGAATTGAAGAATAGCAATGTTGAGCGTCTTTAAAAAAGGAAAAGAGAAGTGAAGTGCACGACCATTTATGATGCTGAATACTGTCGAGCTCAACTATATTAGCAAGGAGATAAGGTCTTCTGGGCTCTGTCTGATTTGCACGCGCAACTGCATTCGTTGAGCAGCGAAGCGTTACTCACGACTGTCTTACCTCTTCTCTTCAGTTGACCTGAAAACGTTTATCAAAGGCGGAACAGGAGCTTCTGCATCATGCACCACGTGTTTTCGCGTTGGCACTGGCTTGTGTCTTTCACTTGTTGTATTTGCTTCTCATCAAAAGCTGTCCTTTCCGTGGCACTAGTGCCAGAACCCTTTGCCTTTGTGCTCCCTTCTTCCTTAAAAATGCAGAAAAAGAAACTCATCGTTCTCTTCTCCGTTTCTCTCTTTCCCGCTTGCTCTTTTGTATACTTTGAGCACACACGCGCACACGTACACACAAAACCCCATTCACACTTGAAAGATAAATTTCTCTTTTTTTTTCCAGGTGGTACGCCGGAAAACTAATCACTAATTTCGGGTAAACGAAACAGCAACAGAGCAGAGAATAGTAGAAGTATAAAAGGAAAAGGAAAGCTCTAACGAGCAACCCAATAAGGTTCACGTGTCACCGTGCAAACGGACAGGCGACGGATATTGGAGAAAAACGAAGCCAACCCAGTACTTCACTCGACTTGAAAAGTACGGAGACAAACAAACGGGAAAAACACCTTGTTTCCAGTGGAGCAAGAGGTACTCTGAACGTGTCCTTTGCCTTTTTATTTATTTCTTCTCTTCTCACTTTTGTTTCGCTTCCCACGTATTCCTTTCTTCTTCTGTTCGTTTTAAAAAAGTAAACGAGATTGCACACAGAATTGTCACCCTTTTTCCTTTCTTCAAATTTTTTTTTTTAATAGAAGCACAAACTGTAGATTTTTTTTCCACGTCTGATTTGTTCATCCAGCGCCTTTTTCATTAGCGTCTTCTCACTCTCTTCTAAACAGCGTTGGCTTTTTTTCCCCTTTTCTCTCTCTCCTACATTTTCTTTTTCAACACATAGATCAACGTTTTAGATCCACTTTTTAGATCCCTCCTTGTTTTCAAGGTATAGATTGTTCGGCTTTCAGAAAACCCTTGTGTAAGTGCTGTGCCTCCAAAAGAGAAGGATAGGAGAGAAAGGCAACTTCGCTTCTTCATCTCTTTTTTATTATTTATTTCTTCCTTTTTTTCTCTTCCTTCTCTTCAAGGTTTCAGCGTAACGAAGGTCGTAGAAAGAGTACGGCACCATCGATTATTTTACGTTGGCGACACTGTTTTGCGTCTCGCTGTGAACATAGTTTTTTTCTTCCTTTTTGCTTTCTTGGTGGCAAACAGCATTTTCACAAGCAGGAAGAAGTTGGTTTCTACTACATCTCTCATATTTTTTTTTTGTTTTGGTGTTCTTTCGTCTTGATTTCTGTGTGGAGTGTCGCTGGTAGCATTTTTGGCAGATTTCGTACTCCCTTCTTTTTTGTTGTTTGAGTTGTTTTTGCCGTTCATACGCACTCTGCGATTCGGTGCATAGCATAGTCGTGCAAATATTCTCTTGTTCTCTTTTCTGATAACAACATTGGTTTTTTTTTCACCGGTGCTTGCGAGGTTGGCTCCTGAGCGGCGAAAGCAGCAGTCAACAGCACTTTCTAAAACGAAACATATATATTTTTATTTACGAAAATGGCAACAACACACTTTTTTAGAATGATGGCGGTTGCCGCCACGCTTTTCCTTTCCCTGCGCGGCACAAGTGTGGTCGGCGTCGCGGCAACTACCTCTTCCTCGGTGGCGGTGCAGACAACGCCGCCGTTCCCTCTTGTAGACGTCGTCTTCCTTGCTACCACCTCCGCTGGCACGGACAAAACGCTATACGTCTCCACCACTAGCGACTGCAAGGCGTCTCTGACGCCCATCTGCACCTTGGGACGCTCGCAGGCAGGGCTGAACTACAACGACACGACGTGCCTGTTTAACATCACCGGCGCGTCTGTCTCCGTCGACGCGACGACGACAACGGCGATCCCGGCACTGTACTGGTGCAGCAGCGCCTCTGGTAACACGTCCTTCACGACCCTGCAGATGAACAAGGTGGTGACAACGCCCTCGTACGCGTACCTGAACACGGAGACGACGCTGCACCTGAACGCGGCGACGCCGGTGGGCACGACGGTGGGGCTTTACACCACCAGTGCCTGCACTATTCCGCTGAAGGACACGTCCACCACGACGGTTGAGAGTTCGCGTGAACTCAGCGTAAACGTCGGCACTCGCGGCATCACGTACCTCTGCGCGTCTGTCCCGTCCGTATTGGGTGACACGTCGGTGTTGACCGCGCGCACCATCATCTACGGCACCAACTCATACGACATCTACACCACGCAAGGCATTCGCCACCGCGCCGTCACCATCACTGCCGATGCAACTTTCTTGTACCTTTCCCTGTCCACCGATCCCCAGTGTATCACGCTGGCGCAGGACTACCAGCAGACCTCGTCCGGCAACGCCGTCTTGACAATCGACGTGCCGCGCGGGACGTACTACTTCTGCGCCATCATGAGTGCGGGTGTCAGCAGCATTGGCGTCTTCGTGCCCGCTGTCAGCACCTTCGAAGTCCACGAGTACGGCGTTCAACCGCAGACCATGTACGCCAACCGCACCACCACCATGTCCTTTGCGATGGACGCGGTGGCCGCGGCGGCCACGCTGCAGGCCGCCCTCTTCTCCACCTCCGCGTGCAGCACCGCGTCGGGCACGCAGCTGACACCGTGGTCCGCGACGATGGAGTGGACGGTGCACACGGCTGGGACGTTCTACGCCTGCGTGCGCACCGGCTCGTCAACGACGGAGCTCGGCTACGTGAACCGGGTGGTGGTATCGGCCACCCCAACCGTGACGCTGTCGCGCACCCCCGGCATTATGGGCCTCGGCGAGGTGGCGACGGTGGCGCGCCGCAGCGACGACCCCGCCGACTCGGCCATCCTTACCGTCGGCATCTCCCGCGCCTCCGACTGCGACGCCCTTCTCCAATCAGGCAACACCACCGCGACGGGCACGACGGCGTCGTTTTACATTCCCGAAAACTCGCCGAGCACGGTCTTCCTTTGTGTCTCTAATCGACTCACAACCGACAAGAGCAACGGCGAGAGTAGCGAGGCGACCACGGCGGTGTACTACAACCTTGGCTCGCTCATCCTCAGCACCTACAGCCTCAGCTATCCCGCCCTGCGCACCGATACGTCCTTGGCCATTGGGCTGGACAACAGTGTGGAGTTCAGAAAAAACACATACATGTACCTCGCGCCGGCCCTGATCAGCGGCACGGACAGCTCCGCCGACGACGACAAAGACGCAACGTGCAAGGCGGCCATCGAGGCGTCGAACGAAACCATGTCGTTCTTGCTGTCCACCTCAGACTTCAAGCTGACCCCGGTGCAGTTTCCAAGCGCCGGGAGCTGGCTGCTCTGTGTGCAGGAGGAAAAAGTGCTCAGCAACGCCCCCGTCCTTCTGCGCACGTTGACTGTCTACGGCAACGCGACGGTGACCCCGAGTGGCGTGCTGCCAGGCATCCCGGCCAGCCTCAGCGTCACGGCAATTCCGGCGTCCACGTCCGTGTCCCTCACGGACGGCTCCGCGTGCTCCCCCGACATGAACACGATCGCGTCGGCCACGTCCAGCTTAACCGGCGCGGCAACGCTCTCCTTCACGTACGGCACCAAAGGAGCACTGCTGTTGTGCGTTGGCTACCGCGGCGAGTCGAACTCGCGAGACACTGCACCAGTGCTGATGACGGCGGGCGAGGTGAAGAGCACCGCGGTGCGCGTGATGCCGCCCGTCGCCGTCGCCGCAACAAGGACCAGCCTCACGTTCTCCGCGCCTGGTGCGCCGACGCTGAATAGGCTCACGGCATTGCTGGTGCCAGGAGGCACGGCAGCCAGCTGCCCCGCCTCCGCGACATCCGACACGCTGCAACTCCCCATCACCGGCCACGCAGTGGTTGGCACGACGCCTGCAAATGAGGTGGCCACCGCCACCTTTTCCCCCGACAGCAGCGCCGTCGGCACCACCTACCTCGTCTGCGTCGGCACATCGGGCAACTTTTTGTCGGCTGGCGTGGTGAGTGTTGTCGCGGTGCCGAGCCTCGCACCAAATCCCGCACCCATGGCCTACGGCCTTCCCGCACGAGTGACCTTTCCTGCCGCCTACGTGGCCGCACTGGCCGGAGATGTGTTTGTCATGCTCAGCGAAAGCGCCAGCTGCACACAGGACCTCACCCCCACCACGCGGTACGCGTCCGGGGCCATGAATGTGACATCAGGGACGACGGACGCTTTCTTCGTTCCCTCGCTAAGCAGCAACATCTCCACCGTACGCTTCTGTGTCGCGCAGGAAAGCCGCCTGGTGAACAGCACGCTGGGCTACGCAGACGCCGGTACGGCCACGCTGGCACAGTTCACCGCTGTCACGCAGTACGCACAGCGCCAACGCACGAACACACTCGTTGTGTCTCCTGAAATCAGCGGCGCGTCACTTTACCTGGTCCGCTGCGAAGGGGCGGGCTGCGCTGCGGCGACGGCGGATGCGACGTGCGCGTCCACCTCGGCGACCCAGTACACCACATCCAGCACCGAAAAGCTCACTGCGCCTGTGGGCACCTATGTGCTGTGTCAGAGTGTCTCCTCCAGTGCGGCGGTGGTCGGCTCGAGCACGACAGTTCAGGTAATCGATCCGTACGTGATGACAACGACAGCGGACACGTCAGCGCTGCGCGCGTACGTGCCCTTCACCGTGACCATGTCCGGTGGCCCTGCCGCAACGAGCGGCACTTATACCGTAACCGTCCAGCCCGCCTCCGTGGCCTGCAGTGAGACAGCGGCGGATTCGCAGCGCTTCGCCATCACCGGTGGGCGAGGCCGCATCGCCATTACCGGCGTGACGCCAGCAGCAAAAGTACATTTCTGCGTTCGACCATCTAGCGTAGACGGCTTCGAAGTGATGACGGCGTATCTCGCGCACTATATGGCGCCCGCCGCGGTGATTGCGGGAGTTGCGACGACGCTGACGTCTGCCGCGCCGGCGGACGGTGCGCATGCGAAGCTCGCGGCGACGGCTGACTGCTCGGGTTCGGTCGTGAGTGGAGGCGTGCAGCCTCTCCAGGAGGGCAAGGTGACCTTCACCGTGGATGGGTGTAATCCGCAGACCGGCCACCTTGCGTCGCTGTACTACTGTGAGACGAACAGCGCCGGCACGTACGAGTCCCGCGGTGCGGTGGGCATCCTGCGCGATAGGAACTGCAGTGGCGGCGAGTCTGCGAGCATCGGGATGGTGTACGCGGCTCCCGGCACTGCGATCGGAAGCTACGGCCTTGCGTCGAGCTTCCTGACAAACCCGCGACTGTCGCTGTCTGCAGACTGCACGAACCTTGTGGACGGCCGTGTGGGGACGACTGGGTATGCGCCTGGCGTTGACGAGGCCGCGGCGTTCTACGTGTGTGCGCAGGTGCTGGGGGCCCCCACGCTGATCTTCACGACGGCGATCCCGACGCTGACGGTGCGGAACTGGGCGGTGTCGCCGAGCGCTGCGCTGAGCCGCTTTAACGCCACGATGGGCGTTCTGCCGTCTGTGAAGGTGACGGTGAACTGGGCAACGCCGTCGACCAACACGTTCTTCAGCACGACGCGCGACTGCAGTGAATCGCTCGCGACTGCCTCGAGTCTGAGCACGCCGGGCGGTGTCGCGACATACCGCACCGTTGGTGTGAGCGGCCTCGTGTACGTGTGCACGACGGACCTGCTGACGGAGAGGACGATTGCCGTTGCGCGCTTCCTGTCCGTGACGCCGCCGTCTGTCCCGCAAGCAGCCCCAGCGATCGTGCGAGGAGGCACATACACCGCCACCCTTGTCGTGCCCGGCAGCCCGCCGCCGTACTCGATGCAGCCGGGCGCGGACGCCTCGTATCCGTACCACAGCTACTACACGTCCTCTGATCGAACGGTGTTTCTGTCGGCAGACAAGTGCGTGAGTGTGATCAGTGGGGTGACCACCACAACGGCGGATTCCACGGGAAGAGTGTCGTTTGTCGCCAGCGGGATTGCGCCGGGCGTGGGCAGCGTCGCGTTGTGCGCCGGCACCGCCGCGGGGACCGCCGTCACCATCTCCAGCATCGTCGTCGCACCCGGCAAGGTCTACCCCACTCAGTTCGTCAGCGGAGTGTGGAAGGCCGCCATTTACGTTCCCACGTACCCCCGCACGGTATTCGAGCTGAGTCGGTCGAGCGGGGACTGCACGGCCACGTCGGGCATGCCGACCTTCACGACGGACGGCGAGGGCTACAGCACCGTGAACCTTGTCACGCCCAAAAATAACGCCGCACTGGCGGTGGGCACCTACACGCTGTGCGCCAGCGTGAGTCCGCCGGGGCTCACCGCCATCGACACCATCGAGGTAATCGACGCCGCCTTCTTCGGCATTCGCGGAACGACGTTTGTGCTGGGCGTCCCCAGCGCGGTGGAGCTGCTGCAGGATCTTGTCAGCAACTACCTGTACACCGGCTTCAGCGAGTCGCGGGAGTGCACGTCGATGACCAGCGCGTACGGCTCGTGGTCAAGTGTCACCGACACGTCGATCCAAGTCATCGCGAGGAGGGCGCGCAGCGCTGGCCTTTACTTCTGTGCCCAATCGCAGCAAAACAACTCCCTCATCGCACTGCCCGCGTCCACGGTGAGCTCGTCCGGCCTACGCTTCACAACATCGTCCATTGTGCTGCCGCGAGGCGAGTGGGACGCGTGCAGCGAGTACACCCTGGACCAGTGTATCCCTCCGGGGAGCAGCGCTGCGTCGTCTGCGGATGTGCTCGCGATGGTGTACGGCGACTGCTGCTCGAGCGCGCGTCATGTGGTGGGCCAGTCGAGCATGCGTGGTGGGACGTGCCGGCTGACGATGGACTACGACGCCGTGAAGTCGCACGGTACTGGTGCGTTGTTCAACCTGTGCGTGCTGAACAGCGGCGACGACTCGGTGTGCACGACGGTGGCGAGCTCTGTGGCGGTGGGCACGTCGTGCACGCCTGCGTCGAAGCACAAGGGGCTGAGTGGCGGCGCGTTGGCGGGCGCCATCGTGGGCAGCGTGGTGGGTGGGCTGGTGCTTCTCACTGTCTTGGGTATCCTCATATGGTTCTGTTGCTGCCGCAAGTCCGGAAAGAAGGATGTCGGTAGTCGCGAGTTGGTAGCCTTCCAGCAGTTTGCCGAAGACGACAACCACCTCGTGGGCTACCTCATCGGAGGGCGCCACCCGCTCCTGTACTACCCCTCTGGCAGCCACATCGGCCGATCGGTCAGCCCGTCACCACCCTACCCGTCCACCAGCTCCGGCGGCTACTCGGCCGTGGAGGAGATGGAGGAGGAGGGACGCGACCAGATCGCCCTGCAGGAGGCGCGCGCCCGCTACAATTTCCGGCTGCACTTCTCCGAGACTCTCCAGCAGTTGGCGGCGGACGCGAAGAACGCAGCGGTGGACGGGGGCCTGGACACCACGTGGGCCAGCGGAGACTCGTACCTGCACGGCGTCGCCCAACCTGTTCGTCGATGCGTCGAGAGCATCATAACGGAAAGCGGAGAGGCGGATTATCTGACGCGGATCGGCCCGCCCGCTGCCTCCGCTGCGCCACACCACGACGACGATGCCGGCAGCGCCGCCGCCGCGTACGAGGTGCCCGAGGAGCGAGACTTGAACCTGACGGCGGACGGTAACGCGTCGTTCGATGTGGATCCGATCACAGGGCGCGTTCGCAAAGTGCGCAGCCATTCCATCGAGAGCGCACCACGACCGCCGCCGTCCGCTACGGAGAGCTACCTCACAAACGACGACTGCGAAGAACGTGAGGAGGGGGCGAGTGCAGAGGACATCGACATCGACGCTGCCCACGACGCGTCTGCGCTGAAGAGTACGGCGCCGCTGGACGCTGATGGGGGCTGCGGCGAGGCCGATGTGGTGCGCCGTCGGATGGTGGTGCGCCGCTTCGTCAACCCGTCCTCGGTCAAGTCGCGCCGTCGCCGCAGCCAGCACCGCGACGACAGCCGGGGGCGGCCGCATCTCGATCCCACCCACCTCGCCGCGGAGACGCAGCATGTCTCACAAGAGGAGCTGCTAACACCGGTGCAAGAGACCGTCTCCGTCTTCGCCGCTGCGACGCCGGAGGCGGGGATCACCACCCCTGACGTGCGCCCGGCCGTTGCTGCAAGGCTGGACGAATCCGCAAACGAGTCTGCGGTGCTCGCACGCTCCCCTATCACCTCCCTCGACGCGCACGACCTGTCGGAGGGTGCGTTGACCATCCGTGGTATCGGCGGTGGGCCGGCGACCGCGGCCGCGGCCCACGAGCGCCACGACTCTGACGACGCTGAGGACGGCGATGACTTGCTGAGCTTCACGACGACGCAGCGCTTCCACGATGAAACGCGCTTCCTGCTGGAGCAGGAGGACGGCCGTCGGCAGCGACTCTGCAACTGGGAGGAGGAGGAGCGGGCCCAGCTCGGGCAGGCGGAGCTGAGTGCGTACATGGCGCTACCCACCCTCCCCGCCGGGATTGACGAGGCCGACGGGGCAGCTGGGTTTGCTGAGGCGATGTCCTCCGTCGTGGCGGTAGCGGATGCGCCGACGAGCGGCGTCGCCTCCAACAGCATGGCCCCCGTGGAAAAGACTGTCGGAGAGGAGGAGCAGGTGCGCCACGCGCCCTGTGCACCGACGGCGTTGCCTTCGCTGCCGCCCGCGCCGCGTCCACAGGCGTTACAGAACCCACGCTTTCACGTTGTGGCGACTGCGCCGGAGTAGAAGTTGGTGTGTGCGTGTTTGCGTGTGTGTGTGTTCATGCGGCTTCTCGTTCGCACGTCGCTGTAGATGATTTGACACATCGTGCTTTCTGCCGGACTTTGTTTTACTTTTTGTATTTCCCGTGTGTGCGTGAGTGTGCGTGTGTGTGTGTGTGTTTGTGGCAGCGGGGAAGCCGAAGGTGCCGGTCCAAGCGACGCAACGCACTCAGGCAAACTGGAGCACACTTCGGCAACGCGAATGCCCTGCAAATGTAGTCTCGCCGACGCGATCCACATGGAGCATCCGTGATGCTGTCGTGCGCTGACGTCACCCCACTCGCCACCCACGACACGGCAGACGCATTGAGATGCGCAGCACCATGCGCTGCTTATTATTGACATAGACATAGAAGCCGCACCGAGGCGACGAAGCTGTGCACCCACGCCGTGTTCCTGGCCAATGCATCGCGCACGGAAGGAGGGCAGGGGGAAGAACGAGGAGCCTGAAGTGCTCCATTCCTCCTTCCCCCCTCTTCCTCCTCCTCTCTTCTGCGGCGTTGGCAGCAACTGCACGGTGCCCGGTGCCCGGTGCGGGAGGCTTTGCTTTCAAACGGGAGCATTCCCTTATTTATTTATTTATTATTGAAGTTGCTCCCTTCATTTTTACAGCGAGACGCGCCGCGTTGTTTTTGGGGTTTTCCCTTTCTTCCCCTCTTGCCGTCACGACCACCGTCCCTTTCCCGCGGAGGAGTAGCAGCGGCGTTGTGCGGTACGCCGGGTGGCGCAAACCGCCGTCGTCGTCTCTTCCTCTCCATTTTTTCTTTTTTTGAAACCTGTGTTCTCTTTCTGTTGGCCGATTGAAAAGAGGGAGTAGATGATGAAGCGGCTCGCTCGAGCTGTGATGGTTGTTGTTACTGTTTTCTTTCTATAGTTCCCTTTGCGCTTTGTTGCTGGTCGCTCTTGTGCGCCGGCATCCAAGCCGGTTTGTGTAGCTTCCGTGCGTCCATGTCTTCCTTCGGGTGCTTGTTGAGGTGTCGTCTGTCGTTGCCCGATGAAGTTGTGCGCACGCAAGCGTAGAAGAGAAGCGTGACTTACACTCCCGCGAGGCGCCTTCTGTGACGGCGAGAGTCGAACGAGGGGCCTTCCCCCTTTCCCTTTCCCTTTCTTTCTTTTTCTAGCACCGTGTCGCTCGCACACGTAATTCCCGGGTGGTGAACGGGTATCGCACTCGCCAGGGCGGGGTGCGGGGTACAACTGCCCAGCCCACTCAACGACGATGGGGACGCTGTTGTATGCGTTTCGGCCCACCGCAGTGCCCTCCTCAGCGCGTGGGTGATGACGTGTCTATCCCGCCTGACCCCTTCCTGCTTTACCTGCCTCTCATTCTCTCTCCTCTCCCTTTCCCTCTCAACTGCTGGGAAGTTAGAAATTATTCCTATTTTTGCCTTTTGCCCCCTCCTCCTGCTTTCAGTGCTTCACGCTTCCACCACAGACATCACAATAAGATAGTCGAAACAACGCGCCAAGAGGAAAAAGTGGGGCCGCAGCTTCGTGACGCAGCAGCTCTGTGTGTGTGTGTGTGTGTGTGTGTGTGTGTGTGTCGCTTCCGTTAGCGTGCCTTCGTCTGCACAACACGCTTGTCTTCCATACTCGTGTTTCAAGCGGAGGAACCGCCAGCCGCAGCCACAGCAGCGCGAAACCCAAGAGAAAAGAACAGTCATTATGCCAAACCCCATTGTGCGACTCGGCAAGGAATTGAAAGAGGCAACGGAGCATCCCGATCCGGATATCCACCTCGAGCTCTACGACGCCTCGCACACACCTGGCAGCAGCACCGGTACCCATGCGACGTCGCAGCCCAGCCTGTACCTGTGGCTGGCCATCCTTAAAGGACCGCCTGACACCCCCTTTGAAGGCGGCAGCTACAAGCTCCTCTTGACGATCCCGCAGGACTACCCACTTGTTCCACCCAAGGCAGCGTTCATCACGAAGGTGTTCCACCCAAACGTGGAGTTCAACAGCGGCAATGTGTGTCTCGACATCTTGAAAAAGCGCTGGTCGCCTGTGTGGACTCTGAGCTCTGTGTGCCGAGCCATTTTAAACTTGCTGGCGGAGCCGGAGTCGGACAGTCCTTTTAACTGCGACGCCGGCAATCTTCTCCGCGCGGGCGACACGGAGGGGTACGCGAGTTTGGTTCGTCTCTACGCCATCACAGATGCCGACGCACCTCCCTTTGTCGATTAGAGCAACCACGACAACGAAGGAGGAGGAAAGGGATGCCGGATAAAGGGAGGGGAGGGAGAGCGAGCCTCAACCTGCTCGAGAAAACCTATAAAAAGAAGAAAGCAGGTCTGCCGCTGCGGATGGGGAATCGAATCCCCACAGAGGGAGAGGATGTGTTTGTGGCTTAGCGGTGCCGCCGTCGCCTCCGTGGTGCGCAGACCTCTTTCTTTCTCTCGCCCCACAGCGTGAAGCGCTTGCTCCGCTGACGGCGCAAGAACCATTTCCCCGTTATTTGCCTTTGCTTTTCCCGTTTACAGCCTTTTCCTTTTATTGCTGGTGCGTTATCTGACTTGTCGAAAGACGTATGTTCTCACGGAGAGGACATGCAAAAGCTGCTGTTCCTTACATTGAAGGGAGCACCACAGCTGCTGCTCTGGAGGAGATGTCGCGCACGCGTCTGCCTCGTCGCCGCATTATTATTATTATTATTTATTTTCTTTCCTGTTTCTTTCCGTCAAAAAAGGAAGTGTTCTCGCTGCGTTGCTGTCGCTATTGTTGTTGGTGCGACCCCCTCCTCATACTACTCCGTTTTACTTGGGATTTGTTTATATATATATATATATATATATATATATATATATATA